TGCTTCATTCTCTACATTAAACAAAATGCCACAAGAGTCCCAAAAGAGCCAAATTCCATGAAGTGAAACAGATGAACATGCTCGCTTCTCTTATCTTTTCGCTTGTTTCTTTCCTTAACTTTATGTTAATGTCATCTTTTGGTACAAGGAACCAAGTATGAACGACCAAGATGATAAACTAAGTAACTAAGTGTGATGCAGGTTTCGGTTTTGTGTTTAATCCGAAGAAATAAAGCAAGGTAACGGAGTGTCGCATGCCTGTTTGTTCCATTAGGGAAAACACATGCGATGATTCTTGTCACTTGATGGAAAAGGGTCACAGTATTGAGACGAAGCGAAGGGTAAAGAATGCACGCCTTCATCTTCTTCTCATTCATTATATTTGCTCGTTATCATGTATATGGCCTAATGTTGCTCGCTGCTTGATGAAAGAATCCTGATTTCGTTACTCTTTTTACTGAACACAAGGCTGCATGATAAATCTCTAGCCCAAAAGATAAAAATGGAAAGGCAGAAGCTCTAATGGAACAAAGGCTATGCTTCGAAGCAAAAGCACGCATTGTTTCGTTGTGCTTTTCTCTCTTTAATCTGCTGTGTTCTCTCCTGCTCAATTCCCTTCGTCTCTTTGTTGGTTTATGCTGTGCGTTGATAGAACTATATCACAGAAGACTAGGTCATTTTCTCCTCCATTCATGCACCTCATCTTTGTAATAAAAACCACGCTTGTGCTTCACTTCATGTCACTCCTTTGTTTCATGACATAAAGAATGGGGCATTAGCTGCGGCTCCTTCATGCGTGTTCTGCTTGAAAGAAAAACGCTCACTTCTTGTCCTTTCGCTTGTGTCAACGAACTGAAGCCACTTGCACACGTTCACTGCCAACGTGTTTCAGTGAAGAGAGCACGCATTGCACATGGTTTCATGTGCTTCTTTTTCATTAAACCACAGGCCATCCAGAAGCTTTTTTTCTCCACGTCTTGCTTCTATTCAATTTTTGGCCCATGTCTGTTTGTTCGGTTGCGCTCTGTGTCTAATTATAAACTAAGCACCCTTTACTCTGATACATTGTCTTAATATGGCATAAACAAAGGTTGCAGCAGCACTCACTTCAAGGAGTTGTAGAGATTGAAACCATGAACGACTCCTGATCCCACTCCTATGCTTCACTGGCGTCTTCCCCTATGAAACTCATTCACTTTGCTTACCGAAAAAAGGTCAAGGAAAATGCTCTGGAGGCTTTTGCAGGCTGGGTGCAAAAACACCTCTAGACCTGGCAAGAGAAACTAACGATAGGGGATCAGGGACATAAACAACATGAACAAGTTATAGATTCCTAAAGGCGGAATCCCCTATAGAACGCAATAGTAAATATTGGTCGTGGGATGTGCTACTATGAGCTGAATCCTTCATCATTCCGCTTTGTACCCTTCGACTAACTGACCTATTGAATCACTCATGCACTTTGTTCCTTTATATTGATTCAGGTCAAATTAGGACAATGAAAATAAGAATAAGGTGCGCTTGTATCTCTTTACTTACCGCTTTTGCACCTGTTGGTCTTGTTTCCTGCATTGAGCTCAATTCTAAACGTCAAAATCACGCGCGTCCAATCTTTTGCATTCTCACCAGCTGTTATGTTGAAAAGATGAACCATGCAGCCTGACACACGACAATGGTAGATCCTTGAGGGGGGTAGGTATATATATATATATATATGTATATATATGTTTGTATATATATATATATATATATATGTTTTTATTTATGCATACACATGCATGTCAATTGTGCTGTGACACAGACGTGCCCATGCACGGGCACACACACACAAACATGAATATTAATTATGTGCACAGCCCCGCAGATACTTAGCAGGTACATAAGCAAAGATACTCGCGGGATCCGGTCTCCTCTGCCCTCCGACATTGATGATGTCGCATCCGTGCAGCAGGGGCGGATACCGAGACTTCATTTGCCTTCGCATTGGAACGCACACCAGCCAGCATGATAGCTCGGCCGCACCTGATGCTCACAGCTGTATCAGGTCTTGAATTCACTACCTGCAGCCATCAGGAAATGCTGGATGCCATGAGCGGCCCAAGTGCAAGTGGGCAAGCACAAGCCGCCGGCCAGGCTCATGAAAGCTGGATGTGAGCGCAAGTGCAGGTAGTCTTTTCCAGCCTTTTCAATCGCACAGGCAGGTTTCTAGCAAGTTTCATTAGAAGACTTAAGCTTAAGCTAGCTCATGTAATCCAAGTTGCTTTATCAAGGTTGGGATTTTTGCTGCGAAAAGAAAATTGGCTCGAATCATATCCCGGGGATTGCTGGAGCTCAGGATGGTGCATGTGGCTGAAAAACCTTACTGACGCCCTATACCCTTCAGCAAGGTCTGCTGTCAGGTCGGGTCTTTTGTGTATGGGTTGGTACTTGTCTGTGGCTTACATCTGACCTTGACATGACAGCAAGATGTTTGCAAAGCCAAGCTCAACCCTCACAAGCGAGTTATGCGATCATCCTCCAGTCTCTCTACAGACCTCGCCTGGAACTGCCGAGTGTGAGCGTCAAAAAGCCCAAAACCGTATATTCCCCAAACTCTAAACTGTAGACTCCCGGGGTCTTACTAGTCATACATTTGCTTCGCAGTAGTGGTAAGCCCCCGGGTAGGAAGCAGTCTACGAAGGCACCGTCACTTTATGTGTTGACAGACTTGCTTGTCATTTGACTGTTTTCCTCAGTTTCGTTTCACTTTGTCAGACTCCGAACCATATGCCTCGCCTGGATTGTCCGAGTGTGAGCGCCGAAACACTAAACTTGGCCTTGAAAGCATATCCAAGAAATCAGGATGGTGGGTGCGGCTAGGCCCGGCGGCTCTGCGGGGCGGAGCGGGGTGGGGCGGGGCGGGTGGGCACTTAGGCGCTTCAGGCGCTCCCGCGCGCAAGCACATGCGCGACAAGAAAACCGTAATTTGGTTGATGTCGAGCAAGATTGAGTTAACATGCTAAAGCTGATACAATCTGGCTCGAACTTGCGAATATGGCTGATCTTGCAAAGTTTTAATACGTTTGGGTGCTTGTCAATCGACGTGGTGACAGACGCGCAAGGTTTTCACCATTGATTCTTTCGTGCGTTTTCGTGCGCCCCCAAATGGCCGCGAGCAAAATAAAGGCCCGGCCGGGCAGATTGGAGGCAGTGGTCCATTCTTCCTACGTAGGCACAGCAAGGAAAACACAGGCCGGGCATTTGTGTTTCCTAGGCGTGCCCTTGCTTTCCGCAGGGCTGAGGCCAAATTATGCTCGAGACAACCAAGGCGGTTTCCGTGCGTTTTCGTGCACTGACTGAAAGAAGACCGATTTGGCTAGTTTGGGCAAAAAACCGAAACGATTCAATTGCACATGGAACGGTCAGAAGGAGTTGCAAACATAGATTCTGCGGCGATTGCGTTCAGAATTCTTTCGAATGCGCCATGTGTCTCCTTGCTCGCCAGTTCTGGCCTCTTCTGGGGTCCGATGTCCAAAACGGCGCGGCAGGAAGGGCTGGGCTGGGATGGGGCTGGGCTAGACCTGGCTTTGGGGGGCTTGGCTGGGGCTGGGGTTTGCTGGGCTTGATCGTCTGGACCGGTGGAGGGGGGGACGACAATAACAACTGACGACAACGACGACCACGACTACGACGACACGACGACGATTCCTTGGTCGGTTCCGTGCTTTAAAGACATGGTGCGGCCGCTCTTGTGTGAGTTTGGTGCACTTTCGTGTGGTGGAGATGCACTGCCTGGCTTCTGTGCAAGGGTGCAATCTGATGAGATGAAATTCAGAGTGAGTCTCGACAGACTGTAGCTGCTTGTTGGGGTGTTAGTAATGTTGCCTGTGTATCCTGTAATCGGCTCGCTTTTCCGACCCAAGTCCAAAAAGATCCAAGAAACTCAGCATGACCAATACGAAAGCGAGCTATCTTTCATGGCTCCGATCGAGCTGGACAAGGCCTGAGCACAAGCAGGGCCCAAGACATAAGTAAAGGGTAAGTCGGTGGCACCATGGCATCTTTGGTTCTGGAACAATCGATGAGCTTCTGTCAAGTTAGACAAATCTTTCCGTCTTTTATTACTCTTCGCCTGTCGGCCTGTTCGTCCATCCGCCTCTGTCGCTTCCTCCCGCTCTCTCTCTCTATCTCCATCTCTTGCTCGCTCACCCTCTGTCTGTCGCGCTCTCTGGATATAGCACGACAGTATGGTGGAGCACCTTGCCCGCATCCAGCAAAGGCGAGCAAAAGATCTCGCTCGAGCCATCAGAGAGTGAACATAGCGCTCAAGGTTCTTCGGGCGAGTGCTCGAGGCGGGAAGAGTGGAAATCCCTTGTGAGTGGCATACACTGCGTCTTGTCGAGATACACCAAAAAAGCTTTGTCACCATGTGTTCACGTGTCGCCAAGGCCATGCCAAGTAAGTCCACTCTCTTCCACTCTTCCCGTTATTAATGGCCGGTAGAAGTCGCACGCGAAAATTGAAAGCTGCAATCTCAGTGAAGCGGTCTCTGAAGATCATCGTCTAGTTTGCCGGAGATGTTGTAGGCTTCGTGTAGACCGGAGCCATCGCAACATGTCGGTTGTAAGCTGCAAAGCAAGGCTTTGCCACACTGGACCTGTAATCCACAAAGCTCTTATAGAACCTGGCCCAACATAGCTCAAGACGTCGGCTTGCGAGACTATAATCCACTTGCAACGTGTGGTGCTGCAGTTAGTCGAATTGCTCATCTTAGTGCCAATCCCCAAAACCCATAAACCCAAAGCCCCGCGTAGAATTGGTCATTGTTCTTGTCAGCCTGCTCTTGCCAGCCCCTGGTTATTAAAAGGTCGTAGGATAAATCTTAAGGCCAGTTGTTGCTTTCGTTTCAAAGGAGTTGGATTTTGTCATGCCGATTTTGCACAGCGTGCGATCCGCAACTCTTTCCAATGTAAATCTCAGGATCCTGTGCACACATGCTGTCCACAAGCGTGATCTGGAAGGAAACGGAGCCGTCTTCCGTGATCCGAGGCGCCTGGTTTCAGGGAGTCGTCAAGTGTCAGCGAGTGTCTGGAAAGATTCGTGCATATCCTGCGAAACCGATCGCTTAGCATGAATCTTCAGCCACTGCCGGCGATCGTGGATCGTTAGCCTTCTTTTTCCCGCAGTATGCAGCGGCCTTTGAGCCACAGAGGTGCACCTGGATTGGAGCCGTTTGAGCCGGTGCGAAAAGCGGAGGATGTGGTGCCTGGCTCAGCTTCGATGCTTCGTGCGCATGTGCTGGAAAGCTAGAGATGGCCGAGCTCGAAATGCCTTACAGACACTGTAAGCAACGTGTCCTGTCTATAGTGGCAGTGGTAGCTTCTCTACACACCGTTTGCATTCCAAGGAAACTGCAGCAACATGAATGCCATACTACTCTTCCTCAGAGCATCGACGTTACATTCCGTGGGCGTGCTTTGACGAACCCGGGGACAGAATTACTCGCTCCCTCAGTCGCCCTGTCGCTTAACTTAACTCTCAGACTCAGACTGCTTCAGCTACTCGTTTCTCCTACAACCCTTGGCTCTTCTGCTGCGACCAACTTTCGCAGCACACCCCCAGTCCAGAGAGCAGGAGATCGTCAGCAGTGAAGGTGCAGAGGAGGCCGGGTGCTGCCCTGGCTAGGAGTAGTGCCTAAAGAGAAAGTGCTTTGTTGCTGGCATGCCCGGCGCCAGCAATGCCCAACAGATGCTTTGTGCTTGGACAGCATCGGTGTTCTCGCGACAGCAAGCATAGAACCCCAAGACTTGCGGCGCAGCGTGGCAGATCGGCAGAGGGCAAAGGTGGACAGACTGCGGCCGGGGCTGTCACTGTTAGATTTGGGAGTTTCCGAAAATAGGGGACCCTAGTATGGTACCCTAAACAGTGGGACCTCGAAGCCGTGCCTGCGTCAGCGAGTGTGCGTGTCGAAACAGTAGGATCCTTATTATAAGGACCCCAAAATAAGGTAACCCCCTATTTTCGGAAACTCCCATTTTGGCGCGAGGACGATCTCCCAGCAGGGAATGGTTTCTCCTTATTCTGGGTAGTCTCCCACACAGCGATGACAGCGCACCTAAAGCTGTTGAATGATTCTGGATCTTCACGGTGCTGGCTCTCAGAAGTAGCTGTTTCCCAGCAAATCTAGTTCTAGAGCTACTCCGTCTTGATTGCCCCGGTCAGCCTGACCATGCTGTGTCAGGTTCAGTTCTGCACTGCGTCATTCGACGGCGAGGACTCGCCCGAAGTGATCAGGTGGACGGTCTCAAGCCGGGCTTGATGTGCCGGTCTTTCAGCGAAGAAGAGTTGGCTCTGCCATGCAGCTCTTTCCTTTACGGCTAGGCCAGGCCTACAGGTCGTAGGCTCTTCCACCTACCTTTGAGTCGCCTTTGTCCTTCTGTTACAGGTCGCACATGTTCTGGCATGCCGTCTGTTAGACCACTGAGATGGAGGCTCCTTCTGGGAGATTACAATGAAAGCGGCTCTCACCATGGACGTAAAACGTTCCAGCGTTTCCTCGGGGCGCCTTTTGGATGCACTATTGTTGGCAGGAGGGCTAGCTGATAGCTTGCGGTAAGTCGGACTGGGTTCAAGGCCTTAGATCCTTAGGTGCAACTCTTGCGAAAGGGGCCGAGATGCCAAAAGAGAATGACTAGCGATGGGTAGCGACTTGAAGGGGGTAATCGACGATGGTCTGGAATAGCGGTTGAATAGCACTGTTGTATGTCAGCTTGTGTCTTCGAGCCGCAGGGTTTCATGTGCACTCTCGAAGACTCAGGTCTTACTCCTTGTCCCTGTACTATTTCGACGACTCCCTCGGACCAGAGAACCAAGGCATTCTTCCATTTGGCCGTTGCTTTCAGATGCAGAAGGATGTCGAGGTTTTGGTGTAGTTTTGCACCAGCCGGATGTCCAAGCGTGACTCTTACAGACAGGTTGGTACATTGGCCCAGAGGTCGCAGGAGATGAGGCCCACGGGCACGGGATGAAGTGGAGTGTAGACCGAAAAAGATACTGTAGTTTGTTTGGGAATTACCACCGATGCGTTTGTACCTTCCGGTGTCAGTCTGAACAATTACAACACCTAGACCTGGACTCGGGCCTTCGGTTCTGCAAAAATGCAGAGCATCGAGCAAGCCCGACACGAGACTAGCTTGGCTGCACCCGATCTTGCGAACCTCGTAAAAGCGGAAATTTAGAAAAGCCCCCATCGGGACCTAGACTCAGAACCTCGGATCGTCGAGTAGCCCCTGCACTTCTATTGTCCTTGATGGGATGTTTGCAGACAGTTGGTGTCATCCGTGCTCTTTCGATCTTGCAAGATCAGGCACCATGTTCTGCCGAGGTCTACGCCTGGTCTCCAGAAACAACGAATGTACCACCTACATCCTCGTGGCACATTCCGATCGACGCGGGGCAGGTGGGCAGCATAGCTGACTGGTCAGCCGCCACTGTTTTCATCGCACCGGCAGGCTGTCCAAGGCTTTAAGGTGCTCCTCAGCGGGTCCGTGGAGCAGGCTGGTGGGGGCTTCTCGGCTTTCACTTGCTTGTGTAGCAACCCGTGCCGGATATGACTTGCAGTCCTGGTTTGATGCCGGGGTCCCCGCCGGCCGGGTTTGCCGGCGGTAGTCCTTTCTGGCACCGTGTCTCCGAAATCCTGTGAACTGGAATGGCCATCCCTGATCCCCAGGGAAAAAAGCCGTTAAGACTAAGAGCGTGCAGGGGCTCCGAGAGCTGGAGGAGGAGGCAAAGCTTCAAGCCGAGTGGAAAGATGAGGCCACGACCGGCCGCAAACATGAAACGGGTTGTTGATTGAGCGTGTACGCAAGCAATGGGCCGCTGCTTCGACTGGTGAACTTGCTTGGGTTGTTGTGAGTTTTCTGTCTTTTGCTAAAGCCCAAACCCACAGACAACCAATCAGCAGCGTGCTGTTCTCTTGGTAGCTTCTGCAAAGCGAGCATCCCAAATTTGATACGGAGGCTGAGCCACACATCAAAAGCCTTGCACAAGCGTGTCGCTTGCCTTGATGCACGGTTCTGACTCGTCGCAAGCCACGGCTTAATTGTGTGGCACTACAACGCCATGAACGCAGTGCTGCCTGGTGCGCAGGCACTGCTCAATGCGGGGGGCGGGTTTGGACCCCTTGAGCTTGGCTATCTCCAAGCTTGGTTAGCCTTTACACGCCCCACCGCTCCACACGATGCAAGGCTAGGTCAAGTCCAAGTCTCAAAAGGCTGCCCCACCTAGCTCCAACGCGTGGTGTTTTTGCCAAGCCCCTTGAGATTTGACATGCCACTGGAAAAAGCCTGTCATTGTGTGGTGGCGCGCTCTTGAATCTTAGTGGTTATGCCTGCGCCAAATCGATGTTCGGGTTTCAAAAGATCCTGCAGGGGGAAAAGGGCAATGTAAAAACAACCTGTGAGTCAGCGCGTCAAGGCAGCCACATCCCTCGACATTTCGCGACACGAAAGAAAACCTACAGTCGCCGCTTGCCCGTTCCTCTGATCGGCTCCCTCCTGCTTGTTCCATGAGAAGACATGCCCATGCCAGTAGTACTTCTTCTGATCTTTCGCGGAGCTTGCTTCCAACGCAGGGACGGGACGAAAAGTGGGATCCACCGCCCTGGGAGGCCAATGGGTTTCGAGCATCCGTGAGACGCAAAACCTCATGTTGTAGCATGCGGCCTTGGCACGCAGAGAGCGAGAGAGAGAGAGACAGAGAGAGAGGACTTGCAGGTGCGCGTGCGCGCGCCCGGGGTGTGGGGGCTGGACTTTTCCTGCACTCCCCACCTCGTAGAGAGAGAGAGAGAGAGAGAGAGAGAGAGAGAGAGAGAGTCAGTGCAAGCAAGAGAGAGAGAGAGAGAGAGAGAGAGACAGAGAGAGCCCCAAGCCTGGGGAAAGAAAGAGGCCGGCAGCGGGTTATAAAGTACAGGGTTAGGGTGGTTACGGGGTGCCGAGCCGCTCAGCAGTTGGTTGCAAGTGTCACACAGACCACGGACCCGGTGAACCTTCGGGTGTGGGGGGGGGGGCGCGCGAGTGCTCCTCTGTCCGACTGCAAGCAAGAGAGGAGAGGGAGAGAGAGAGAGAGAGAGAGGCGGGGGACTGCCACCGCCCCACACCCCAAGCAAAGCAAAGAGGGGGAGAAAGAGAGAGAGAGAGAGAGAGCACTAATCGCACGTAAAACCGTGCATCCCTTCAACAGACGGGCTGCTCCCGCGGGGGCATGCCCTCAAGCCCGGGGAAAGGAAGAAACAAAGCGAGAGCACGCAGCATTCCTGCTCTGCGGGCCCCGGAAGGGCTCAGGATACCGGCACAGTTGGTTCTGTAACAACTCTTGGTCAGTTGTCGGGCAGTGGAATGGAGGGACGCAACTCGAAGGCAGGCTATGGTACCGCTAGTGCCAGCACAAACACACGCCTTCATGGTGGTGGCCGTCATGATCATGGTGACAGTGGTGACGATGGTGACGTTGGTTCCGGTTCGAAGACATGTTCTGTAGCCGTCAATAACCTACAGGGTTGCCGCACTCGTATGGGCTGAAAGGGTGACGCAGCGGATGGTCCCAAGCAGCAATTGAGCCATGTGACAAGAGTGCTGGAAATTGCGAAGATCCCCAGTCAGCCACTGCCCATGCTTTGACCTCGCCTGTGTACAGGATATGAGCATCATGGGAATCCCTGAGTTGGTAGTAGATGGCTTCATTGATTGTAATTATGGAACCCATTTCTGGAGCAACTCGTGCTTGCCTAGTTGGACCTAGTTGTCGCGAGTTGCGTTGCTTCGTCGCTCACTGGGTACATGTGCGGGCCACAATTCAGGACGGACTGCCTGAAGCTTCTGCGTTACTGGGACCCTGGTCCTGGAGCCGTTCTGCACTCTAGCACCAGGTCTCGAGGCAGGATGATCCGCTTGCCAAAGCAGATCCCTGGACGAAGGTGCTTCCGGGAGGTTTAGAATTGGGCTACCAGCTTTGAGCTTTCAGAAGGTGGCGCAGGTTGCAGTGGGATTTGCTTTGCCACTCAAACCCCGATACTGTAGTGACATGGTGGATGCCACGCTGTGGTATTTGGAATGGTTTGCCACAAGCATGGAAGAATCGAACATAATTAAATGGAAGATGCATGCGCCATCATGCGCCTACAAGATGGACATGCTAGACCCTCGGGATGCAATGGGAGAAACAGAAACAGAGAGAGAGAGAGAGAGAGAGAGTGAAAACATGTGGGTGGTATAAGTTGTCGCTTCAGAACCACCGACACTCTTACAACATGCCTTGACATGCCATGCGGGAGCCTCTTTAAATTGCAATGGTGACAATGGTGTTCATGCGGATTCATCTCCTGCAACTATGTACATCGCAGCAAAGTCTGCGGAAAAAAGTGGTCAAGCGGGACGGAACTGAGGACTGCTTCAAGCCATTTCAAGCCTATGCCTTGTTTGGACAGTTTTCCTTGGGCCAGTGGGCCAGGCCTCGGGAAATGAGGATCCGCTTGCGAAAGCAGATCCCTGGGCCGCCAAGGTGCTTGAGGGGGATTTGGGGTTCAGTTTCGACTTTTGGCTACTAAGTTCTCAGAAGGCGAGTGTGAGTTGTAAGTGGCGCTGCTACGCCACTCAAGCATACTCAAGCTGTTTGAGTCAAGCTACCTAGGCTACCTAGTGATGTTTAGCAGTCTTTTATCACAAGCGCGGAACAATCGTCTACGGACAGCAGCTTTTGCTGGGTCCCGAAGCACCACATTACATGAGGATCTAGCAAGGCTTTCTGGAATGCCCCCTTATGCGAACGTGATGGTGTAAGTTTGTGGCGATGTGTCACCGACGACCTACAACGCGGGGTTTTCTTGGTGCAGGCAATCATGCCACCTTTGATTCTTAGGTTCATGCTCTGATCTCCTGTGCATACATCACAGCATCGGGTGCGGTATGCTTGAGCGGAGTAGGAAAACGCCGGTGTTGGGCAGCCCATGCGTGGCAGCGACACTCACGGGTTACGCGTGTTGGCCACAAGTCAGGAGGGGCTGCTTGAAGCCTGTTCCTTGTCCAGGCGTCTAGAAGTCAGGATCCGCTTGCCAAAGCCGATCCCTGGGCGAAGGTGCGGACGTGCTTTGTGATTCAGACTCCCGATAGACTCTATTTAGCTTGGCTTACGACAAAGCACGGAAGAATCGAAACCAAGCTAAGCAGTGTGCAAGAACATGGAAAATGCCTGCGCAGACAACATGAGTGCTGCTAGACCATCTGGCTGCAGTGGCAGAGAGTGAGAGAGTGAGAGAGAGAGAGAGAGAGAGAGAGAGAGAGAGAGAGAGAGAGAGCGTGCTGTTGCTTGCAAAGTGGGGAAGCCGGGCAAACACCCTACAACAAAACGGGGGGAACAGTGCGCTAGTGTCTTGACTAGAGTGGATGATCCTACCCGAAGTCGTTGCTGCATCCTACTTTATCTGACTGTGTTGCTGCTTAGGAAAAGGGGGGACACCGCGGGCAGCCCCTAGTAATGAGATCGTGGCATAGTGGTACCGGGGGGGTTCAGCACCGTACGCACTCCACCTGTTGCACAATCCGACGGGGGACAACCCTCCACCACAGATCCCAATGCCTCCTTCCACCAACAAGGCAGGAAGGGGGGGGCCTAGGCCCGGGACTGCTCGCAGACTCAACCCCAGCAGCGAGCGAGCGAGCGAGAGCGAGAGAGGGGCCTCCGGATTCCCAATAAATCCACAAAAGCAACGGGGCACTAGCCCTCTCCGGCTGAGTCCATCCTTTCAAGAGAATGCAGGGCTGCTCAACAGAGCGAGGGGTGGCGCCTGCCCACTCCTCTCGCCCCCGAGCAAAGCAAAGCAAACTCAAGCCCAGACCAGACTCCGACCAAGAGCGTAACACCGTGCGCAGGGAGACAGGGCCCAGTGCTCGACTTCCCATACACCATGCAAGCAGGCAAGCAAGAGAGAGAAAGAGAGAGAGAGAGACAGGACGTGGTCTCTCAATCTTGCGGTTGTGTCCTCTCAGAAGCCGTATTTGTATTGGCACTGCTCCTAGGTACTGCCTGTGAAGCGGACACAATCCATGTCTCGGAACCTCCGTAACGGGGGAAATGCTGTTGTTGGCAGGTTTCCTCGCCGTGTTCCCTACCAAAACCTCCGATGAAGCTGAGTTTTGCAAATCACCGGAGGAAAGAATTGTAGTACGAGAGGGGAAGTCGTTCTATAACTTGGACATGATTCATTGTATCTCTTTCTTTGTCTTCAGTGCATAATAATGGGTCCTTGAGGGTGTACGTACATCTGTCCTCGCTATCGCAATCAGTCATGGCTCCAGCCACAAAGACGTACTACACTCGCTTGTCACTCGCCTTGTGCCGATAAATATTATCGGGTAGGCTTTTGAGCCCGGGGCCTTTGACCAGTCCCCATGCCCAGAGAGAGAGAGAGAGAGAGAGAGAGAGAGAGAGAGAGAGAGAGAGAGAGAGAGAGAGAGAGAGAGAGAGAGAGAGAGAGAGAGAGAGGGAGAGAGGGAGAGAGGGAGAGAGAGAGAGAGGGAGGACTGCTCCCGCCCCAAGCCCCAAGCAAAGCAAAGCAAAGAGAGAGAGAGAGAGAGAGAGAGATGCGCGGCAGAAAGAAACAGAGAGAGAGAGAGAGGACGCAATGCCTCCTTCCACCAACAAGGCAGGAAGGGGGCGCCTTGGCCCGGGTCTGCTCACAGACCTATCCCCAGCAGCGAGCGAGCGAGCGAGAGAGGACGCGGACTGCGGTGGCCAGAACGGCCTCAAGGCCTCAATGCTCCTACAAGTAGCAAGCAAGCTAGAGAGAGAGAGAGAGAGAGAGAGAAAACATGTGGGTGGTATAAGTTGTCGCTTCAGAACCACCGACACTCTTACAACATGCCTTGACATGCCATGCAGGAGCCTCTTTAAATTGCAATGGTGACAATGGTGTTCATGCGGATTCATCTCCTGCAACTATGTACATCGCAGCAAAGTCTGCGGAAAAAAGTGGTCAAGCGGGACGGAACTGGGGACTGCTTCAATCCATTTCAAGCCTATGCCTTGTTTGGACAGTTTTCCTTGGGCCAGTGGGCCAGGCCTCGGGAAATGAGGATCCGCTTGCGAAAGCAGATCCCTGGGCCGCCAAGGTGCTTGAGGGGGATTTGGGGTTCAGTTTCGACTTTTGGCTACTAAGTTCTCAGAAGGCGAGTGTGAGTTGTAAGTGGCGCTGCTACGCCACTCAAGCATACTCAAGCTACCTAGTGACCTAGTGGTGTTTAGCAGTCTTTTTTCACGAGTGCGAATAATTGTCTGCAGACAGCAGCTTTTGCTGGGGCCCCGAAGCACCACATGACAGGAGGATCTAGCAATTAGGGCTTTCTGGAATGCCCCCTTTATGGGACCCCTCTCTTCCTCAAAGCTAGCATCCTTAGGTGGCTGTTCGTAGCTGCAGGAGGGAGTCGGTCCAGAGATCGGGGTTTAGGGTTTCGGGTTTTGGGTGGTTTGCTAGGTAGGCCGTTGGGATATCTTACATTTTGCCTTATTGGGCTGAATAGGACCCTATCTACGAATATTTTCCAGAGGCTTTAAAGGGCCAACTTAGTTTGGGGTTTAGGATGGTCTAGGGTTTCGGGTGTCATGCGAAGTGGGAGACTTTGAATCCTCATGGTCCGGCTCTAAAGGATACTACAAGGCTTCTGCAAGGTTTTCGGTTTGGGTCTGTACCTATAGTCTCCATCGTAGTCCTTTTTTTGGCTATCCAGTTTTATGGTTAGGATCTTATTTTGGTTAACCAACAAAAGGAACTACAATGGAGACTATAGGTAGGGTGTCGGGTTCAGGGTTCGGCATGTAGTGTTAGAGCTGTATCCTACATGTTGAAGCACTTGGACCCTGTGGGAATTCTGGCCCGTTTTCATGCTCTGATCTCCTGTGCATACGCCACAGCATCGGTTGCGGCATGGTTGAGCGGAGTAGGAAAACGCTGGTGTTGGGCAGCGAATATCTGTAGACGATATTTCGTAGCAAAGGCGGCATATGGCGTGGCAGCGACACTCACGGGTTACGCGTGTTGGCCACAAGTCAGGAGGGGCTGCTTGAAGCCTGTTCCTTGTCCAGGCGTCTAGAAGTCAGGATCCGCTTGCCAAAGCCGATCCCTGGGCGAAGGTGCGGACGTGCTTTGTGATTCAGACTCCCGATAGACTCTATTTAGCTTGGCTTACGACAAAGCACGGAAGAATCGAAACCAAGCTAAGCAGTGTGCAAGAACATGGAAAATGCCTGCGCAGACAACATGAGTGCTGCTAGACCATCTGGCTGCAGTGGCAGAGAGCGAGCTCGAGAGAGAGAGAGAGAGATCCGCTTGCCAAAGATCCTTGCACGAAGGTGCTTCCGGGAGGTTTAGGATTCGGCTACCCGCTTTGAGCTTTCAGAAGTGCAGGTTGCAGTCAGACGTGCTTTGCGAGTCAGAATCCCCATGGTGACCTGGCGAATAATGATCTTCCACGTTCTTACGTGGAAGATCATTCGCAGAGAACATGTGGGTGTCGTAAGGTTTCACATCTGACTCTGGAAGCATGCATGTGTATGCAATGCGGGAATGTTCAAAGTGCGATGGCATTCATGCTGCGATTTCCTACGTGTACATCACCGCAAGGGGTGGCACGAGGCGCTGAAGCCTCTGCCTTATTTAACACTTTTCCTTGAGTCAGGCCTCTGGAAATGAGGATCCGCTTGCGAAGGCAGATCCCTGGGCCACCAAGGCGCTCGCGGGAGGTTTAGGGTTTAGGGCTTAGGCTTCAGTTGCGACTTTTGACCATTGAGTTTTCAGATTTTTCAGAAGGTAAGTGCGAGTTATACGTGCACTTGCTTCGCTATTCAAGTCCACATAGTGTCTCAAGCTACGTAGTGGTACTTAGCACTCTTTTGCCGCAAGCGAGAAATAATTTTCCACAGACCAAGACACAGACAGCAGCCAGGGCCAGGCTAGGGCCCGGAAGCAGCACGTAAACAGGAGGGTCTAACATTTAGGGTTCTCTGGAATCCCCCTTTTGGGACCCCTTCTACCTGAAAAGGGTTCAGTTCTGTTTGTCAGAGGCAACAGAGCCACCTTTGATGTGCAGGCTTGATCTCCTGTGTATTCTTCAGAGCATCGGGTGCGCCAGGTTCGAGACGAGTAGTAGAGAGCTGGCGTTGGGCCGCCCGTGTCTGTAGCGTATCGAAGTTTTTGGTAGGTCATGGTCCAATGGTAGTACTGAATGGCGTAAATTGCCTGGCATCGACCACAACTCAAGAGGGACTGCTTAATGAAAGGCTATGCCTTGCTTGGACTCCATTCCTTGACCAGGCCTCTAGAAATGAGGATCCGCTTGCCAAAGCAGATCCATGGGCGAAGGTGGTTCTGGGAGGTTTAGGATTCAGTCACCAGCTGTAAATTTTGAGAAGGAGGCGCAGGTCGTAGTCGGACTTGCTTTGCCATTCAGAAAGTCTGATGAAGGCTACTCTGTTGTTTTAGGCGTTCGAAACATCAATGCAACGCACATTCTGCTGATATCCCTGCAGGTCTTGATGCTACATTCGTAGAATCTGAAAGATTCGCAGCCAGTTCGAATCCCCGAGATTGAAGCCTGTTCTTTGCTGCTGGAAGTTCTATCGCATCTGCCAAAGTTGTTGGTCGTGCGAAGAAGTTTCTCTGTGCGATGATCGAAGCTCCTCGGCAAGGAGCCAAATCCAAAGCTGGCGCAAGGGCCCTGGCAGAAGGCCTGCGCATGGGGCGGGGGACTATCAGCGAAGTGCCTGCCACTGCTCGTGCCACGGTACTACGAGTAGCATCGTACTGTACAAAGCTCGTATTGTGTTGTCGTATGGGGTTTCCTCCTTGGTGCATCTCGCACCGGAATTCTGTTCAAGTCGTACTTGTAAGGTTGTATTGTTGTGCTTCTGCAAGAAGAGGACAAGAGAGACGTCGTAATCCCAGCAGCACCGGTCGGTTTCGCCAGCGGCAGTTTTCCCAGTTCGACCACCTATTACATACCTATCACTAATGAAAAGTAGCAAGGTTATTGTTTTCCTGCTCGAAGTTGCCCCTTATGCTGTCCTGAGGCATTCGCTTCCGGTCATCCTGCTCGTAAACCCACCGCATGGTTCCCATTGAAAAAGACAGATGGCTTCGTCTGGGAATCGTGCTGAACGAGTTGAGACGACGGTTTTCTTGGTCTCGAAACTTGGAGTGGAAGCAGCCGAGAAAGACAGCTTGACGAGACATTTCCGGTTTCAACTTCGAGCCTCATTGTCTTTTGTGGCAATAACAGAGCAACTAGTTCAATATGTTTTCGGTTATCCGTCCGGAATGTTTTCAACCATGCGCGCTACCGGCTTCGCTCATTGTTGACACTGCTTCAGACCCTTTGCATTCACACTTGCCTTTCCCGAGGTGCCCGGGGGCGGGAGAAGCGCGTCTCTCTCGCGCTCGCTCGCTCTCGCTCTCGCTCTCTCTCTCTCTCTCTCTCTCTCTCTCTCTCTCTCACCCTTCTCTCTCTCTCTCTCTTCTCTCTCGGACTCTCTCGTTTAGTTAGCTACTTTATCCAGTTATCTATCGATCTGCCTGTTTGTCTATTCATGTTTTGTCCATCTATCCGTCCGTCTGTATCTGTCTGTTTGTCTGGAAGTACATAAATGCATACATACACACGCACACCACACGGACACACACCCAGCCAGCCCGGCGCAGAGGCAGACAGACAGACAGACAGACAGACAGACAGTTAATTATACATATGTACAATATGTACAGACATCTTGTGCAAACATACGTCACATATGTACATGTTACGTGTGTACGCACACAGATAACATCTGTTTCGCACATGTGAAACTATATTATGCATGTGCTTCTGCCCGGCAGGTGATTCAGAATCAGCTTCATCAGGCGCAGTTGAGCTTGATGCGTAGGGGAGCCTTCGGAAATCAAGTGAACCCACATGCATTGGGTTGTGGAGCACAGGCTACTGGAGGTTGCCACAGGGATGGGATGATCGGTTTTCCGTCGGTTGTAGTCTTGACCAAGAACTTTTCAGGCCAGGCAAGACATTCTCGAAACCTCCTCGACCCTAGCCTCTTTTCAGATTCGTCCTTGGCTTGATGCTTTCGTGCTGATCACGTGACTTTTCGTGGCTTCGTGGCATCAGCAGCCGCGAGGCGCAGCGGCCCCCACAAGCCATATAGTAAAGTGTTCGCAGCGGCACAGACATGGTTTCACACGAGGAAGTAGGCGCCACATTCAGCTCTCACCATTTCCCTGTTGACAGGGCAGCAGCTACACAAACGGTTCCAGCAGCAATGCAGATGCCAAGGCCAAGGCGACTGGGCCCATTGTGTGCACATGCAGTTTTGTTGATCAAACCTTCGATGGCATCCTGGCCCGATCGAGGAGCCTTCATGCCTTGCATGTTGCACACCTTTCCTGCGATGTTGCTCGAAAACTGGTCCTGCAAGGTAAACGCCTATGACATGCTGTGGATAGGATGGCACTTGAATCAGTGTGACTATCGCCGATATCGGCCTGCTGTGTCAAAAGTGCGAAAGGGAGAGGGTGCTGAACCTCGTGAGTCCTGTCGTTTCTGGCCGTCCCTTCCCCCGACCCTGCCGCGGTTTTCAGCATAAGCCCCTTGCCTCGTGCACCACACACCCTTGTGGTTTGGCCAGCAACCCTGCCCCCCCCCCCCCCCCACAACAACAACAACGACAGTCATGTGGATCACGACTTCGTTCCAGTCACTGCTGCCAAGTTGGAAATGCCAAGTTACCCCGCAGGTCGAAAGCAACATCAGCAAGAGGTGATATGAGCGATAGGTCTGTCATGTCACGAGGATCGTGCCCCCAACAAGCTCGATCCCTGCGTCTGTTTCCTTGATGCGCAGTTTCCCAGCATTCCGGCTGTGGAAGGTGTCTGTTAGCTTCGAGCCTCTGCCCAGTTGTTGGGAGGCTTTCAGGGAGAAAGACCCTCTCGAAGCAGAAGGCGACCCATGGAAATCCAAAGCGCAGGCACGCCGCCTTCGGGCTTAATGCTGCGTTAGGCGATGTGGAAGTTTGTCGGTTTAATTTGGTGTTTTGTTCATTTTGATCTGGCTGTGAAGCTCACCAGTGATCAGTTTGAACATATGAAATGCACTGCAGCCTTTCGTGCATCTCTTGCCTGCCACATCAGAACGACGTGGGGCTGAATGGCCACGCCAATGGCAAGGCATGGTGTTCCATGTTCAAGTCATGGCCAATTTACACGCAGAGGCTTGCGTGCTGACACCTCTGACGCATGTCGACAAAGTGTCGGGTCGTCTGAGCAGAACATGCCCAAAGGGAACATTGCAGTGTAGCAGAAGCCAAGTTTGCTAGATGCCGCAGCCTTTCATTCATCTCTTGCCTGCCGCACCAGAACGACGTCGGGCTCAACGGCCACGCCAATGGCAAGGCGAGGTAGCCGAGGTGTTACACATAAAAGCTACCGTGGGTTTGTTACATTCAGAGGGCTTGCGTGCTGACACCTGTGACATCTTCTGACGCATGTCGATAAAGTGAAGGGTTGATCGAGCACAACATGCCCCAAAAGTCAACTTCAGGCTTTGCCTGATATCAAGGAGAGCTGGCTGAGAACCTTGCTGCGGAGGGGAATCTAGTGTATCTGTGCTTCTCATGGTTGTTATGAAGCTGACCGGTTGATCAGCTGGAAGAAGATGTGAAATGCGCTGCAGCCTTTCATCCATCTTGTGTCTGACGCATCAGGATGATGTTGGGCTGAATGGCCACGCCAATGGCAAGGCCGGTTATTACATGTCCAAGTCACCGTCAGCCCGTGTTTAGAGGGCTTGCAGACTTGCTTCTCTGTCCCGTGTGGATACAGCGTTGGGGGGCACACCGCATCTGAGCAGAAAGTGGTTCGCACCTCAACTGTGCTTCGCCCAATTCCAGGACTTCAAGTTGCAGTGGAGCAGTTCGAGACGTTTTCCGTGCTCTGAACAACCCACATCGGTTCTTTGCAGGCGGCCTACAAAAGCAAAGCGCTGGATGCGGATGCGCCTGAGTTTCATCCGCCAGCGTGGAAGCCCGGACGACCTCAAATCTAAGTGAAGTTCGTCAGCAGGAAACGCTGCTAGCCCAACATCTCGCAGAGAATGGTATATTTCATATCAGCAGTGAACCATTTCAGTCCACAGCCTGGGCAATTCCGTCGCTACTGCCGAACCACATGCAAGAAAGTGTATACTCATTCGAAGACTCCACTACATAGCCCTCGTTGAAACTCATCGTTTTTCTCTGTTTGCTTTTGCAGGACAACACCTACATTTACAGCTACAGCACCAACAGCAACAACAACCACCACAGCAGCAACAACAACACGAACAAGAAACATCAAAAGCAACTGTAATTTTGCAACAGTATCGATCAAAGCTCTAGGAAGTTTCTATCACCGAGGCAGCGTGCCGGGAACAAGTTGCCTCCCATTTCGGTTGGAATGAGGTGTCCAAAACCTGTGATTGAAGGGCAGAACCCTGAACGGCTGCATCGCTAAAGGTTATGGCAAGTTGCCGTTCACAAGGTTTTGTAGATGTAGGCAAGCCTCGGTAACTGTGGACCTTCGCTTCGCTCAGACCCGGCCACCGGGCATCAGTGGCGGCTTGGACCAGACCTGGTCGCAGGCGAAGCGCAACGGCAGTTGGCGTATCTTTCCGCCAGTGGGCACTGCACCTGGAGTATATGCGCTGAGGGTTCACAAACACTTGCCGAGATGCCCAGATCGCACCGTTTTCGAAATCAACTGCTGGAAATGCTTGCTCGGAGGCGCAGATGACCTCAGAGAGCCCCGGCTGGACTCGAAGACATGTTTGTCTTGGCGTTCTTTGCACGTGGTTCGACCAAAAACCAGCTGACCTGACTGCGAAAACGCAATCCACACGTACACGCTGAAGAGTTCTATTGATTTAGAGTGTCGTGGATGATCGTCACCAGCATCCTTTGCAATGGGGCACCCCGTGGTCTAACAAACCGGTTTTTTTCCACTGTCGACTCGCGAGAGGCTCACAGTATGAGCTGGCAGCCGACTATGAGGAAGAGGAGAGAAGAAGCGTCAATCGTGAACATGGGCATCAAACGCGAGCACGGCAGCCCCCAACAGCCCGCAACAGGTGAGCAAACGGCGATCATACGAAATGTGCAGGGCGGCATGCATGCTTTTTGTATCAATGCTTAAACTTCTCTCAACAATGCTCGCACTGTCGCACTCTCACTCTCCCGCACCGTCAAACACCAACAACCCACCCCCACAGCCACAGCCACACCCCCACGAACTCGGCATATCTATCTCGTGAGTCTTGAGATGGTCGCAAGGGCCGCGGCCAAACGAGTATTGAGAGAGTCGGGACTGCAGCACTTAAAAGTTTAAAAGAGCCGGAAACAGATGAGAGGACAACGCACCTGCATTGCATGCCGCAAGCATCTGACGGCAGTGCACAACCCACTGTAAGAGTGCTTACTTGACATAGATGATCGTGCTGAAGGGTCTTCACACCGGCGAGCATGATGTTTTAGCGAACTGTACTGTACGGCCGTTGGTGGAATCTCCATGTTTCGCCTGAGTGGTATGCTGGAGTCACTCCAAGTTGCTTGTGTTGTGCTTAGGCCTGTAGGACAACAGATTACTCGTGCAATTTCCGTCCAAGCCAAGGGCTTCTGCGGCCTTGGATGCGCGGCGTGGCCGCACGCGTTATCATACTGATCGGGGTTTCTCTTGTTGCAAAGGCTCTGCCAACACGGTCTGACTGTTCAGGAATCTAAATAAGCATGTCCTCAGCTTATTGCAAGAGGCAGGGTGTGCCAGATGTCAATATGAGGAACGCATAGGACGGGCCACAGGATTTGTCCTGAGGCCTCCTTGTTGTGCAGTTTGGAAATCCTCGCAGACTTCAGATCATGAACAAGGTAAGGGTTTGCTGTGCATCCCAAAAGAAGTGCCATTCAATGGATGCTCGTGCTCAGATGCCACGAAACTGATCTAGGCGCATGGCAGATCATCTGCTCCGATCCCAGTGGCGGTGACTTGGCATGGGTATGTTTTTTTGTTATGGTTTTTGGTAGCCCATCGTGTCTTTTGAAGCTTCGTGGCTTGGTGCCAGTTGTCGTACATTCAATAAATCTAGTTGTGACTCATTAAGCGCCCTTCTGGTCACCAGTACCAAGCTCTCGAAATGCACGCGCTCACACCTGTATCCCGTGTACGTGAGCCAGCTTCCCATAAGCTAAATTGTATCCACTCCGGATCTACCGCTGCAGGCACGAGCACAGCGATGCAGCCCCTTGGTCAAAATCGGAAGCTCCCTCTGATTGTTTCATGATGCGGCATTACGCGGCATTCCGGCAATGCTTGATGCACATGGCTGGTGAACGTGCAACGGGCCAGTACAGCGGATGCTACATTTCGTGTCTTACCACTTTTTTTGGAGTCACGTGTATCGAGATGTGTTAGTGGTGCTGTGAGCACTCAGCCTGCCGCAGTTTTGGTAGGCCTCAGTATACGCAAGGGGTCACACGTGCCACATCGCAGGCATATCGCATCCTGGGGGACCTGAAGGTGGGTGCGGTGTGCCCACTAGTCAATCCTATAGCAGCGTCTTTTCCGAAGTTCGCTTGATACAAGTGCCAGCTTGCGCAGGGGGTAGGCAGTTGTTGCAACTCCTGGTCAGTGCGTCCGGGATGGCGGAAGGGCTGTTGCCCAAAATGTGAAGACAGGCCATCCTCAGGGAGCAGGACCACAAGGGAGACCCTCGGTTGCATCAAGCACTCTTGCAGATTTGAAGGCATGTGCCTTTTGCGCGAGATGTTACTATCCAGTATTATCCTCCCATGAGTGTCCATCGGAAGCTAAACCGTTGGATTTTTTCGAACGACTCCGTGCCTCAATATCTACGTGTTCGATCTCGTTCTCTCGTGAGTGTACCATAGCGCTCACATAAAGAGGCCTAAATTTACCCCCGAGCAATGCCAAGTCTGAATCTGATGGTGTTAGCGCAGCCACGAAATGGTCCAGCATTTAGCCTGCAATAATGAGGGTCTGAGCAATGTGCAAAGCAATAGCAATCTGGCAGATGCATGCCTTCCAAGGAGGTCAAGATATTCGGAAGCTGCGCGACAAGCTTCCGATCAGCAAGGTCTGACCTCGATGTGACGCACCTTTGCCGGAAAGTCTTTGAGTCATGTTGCTCTCGGAGGTGTCGGGGTTTTTGCGCGTAGCAACCTCTGAAGTCTATGGGGCCAAGGTACACGGGAGATGTGGAGAATGGACGCAACGAGCCTGCAATAGCCGTAGGTGGACTTGGACATGGGAAGAGAGTGACAATGAAGCCTCGAAGTTGACGCTGTGACACTACGGCCTCAAGCCCGAGACCCATCAGAGAATTTCCAATGCTGTCCCTGGCTTGAGGAGTGATGTCCACCCTCGCGACAGTCATGCAAAGCCTCAAGGACTGCCGAAGGTCGAAACACCATCCCACTTCGTCGATGTAGTACTGTAGTTGTGAAATCTAGGTTTCTTTCTGCTACGATGACGATGAGGACGACGAATAGAAGACGACTAGTGACTAGGACCACTACGACGAAAACTTCTCTTGCGACGACGACGACGACGACGACAAGTTCTGCTGCTTCGTCTGTGTGTGTCGAGCACAACGGGGGTCGACGACGACGATGACGACGTGGGCGAGTACGCTGACGACCTGAAGCATTAGCGCAAGGCACTGAACACTGGCGCCTTCAAGGTAAATGTTTAAATGTTTTCGGCGGGCCCCCCCTGTGACATGTCAGAAAAGTGTGTCTCGAGGACCGTGGCTACGAGAATGTCACCAAAGTGTTCACGTTCCAATCTCAGCTTGCGGCGATTGTAGGATTCCAGGTGCACTCCACAGGCGCCTTAGGAAGCCAGGGAAGGTTGCTTTCAAAAGCAAGGTAGTCAGAAAGATTCAAGGTGTGAGGATTGTGGGTCTGGGACGCTTGAATTTTCAGAGGGCTGGCAGAAATTACGCCTATGCGCAGGGAGTTCCCTGAGATAGACGTATCACCCTACAGCTCCTCCTGTTCTGGGCTGCGTGATCCTAGTGCACCTTCAGCAAGCTTGTGCTGCTTTGTCCCAGGTCTCAGACACGACTTGTGAAGTTCACAGATCCTTCCAGCAACATGGAGGCAAAGACCGGTTGGTTCCTAGCTGCAGACGGCTTCCGCGCTTCCAATGACAATTGGGCGATGCATGGAGAGAAGCAAAGGAGGAAGAAAGGAAAATATCCGCGCAGGCAAGACCTAATAATGTCGAAGGTCGCACTGTTTCTTGTGGTCCTTGGGGCTGCACGTGCCAGCACCAATCGGTCAGACGTGGCCTTTGCTTGGATGGGGTCCCAGTCTTAGCTAAGTTAGCTAAGTCGGGGTTAGAGGCGGGGGGGGGGGGGGCGCTCTGCGTGAAAGAGCCGTAGGATGTACAATATGATATATTATATCTGATATATGATATGTTTTATATTATATATTAAGATCGCTCGACTCCTTCTCCGGGCAGGTGGACTTCTGCTTGCAAAACGCCCCTTGTCTGCTAACAGCAAACTGCCATTGTCGTGGAGAGGCAGTTTCAGCTACGCAGAGCAATTCTGCGGTATGTGCAAGGAACACCGAAAAGCTGCATTTCTTGCCCCAGTTCACGCTCCGTACACGCATCCTGTGATCTATCTGTCTGGTTTCTTCAACACATGACGCCGCCTTGAAGTTGCAAGCAAAGATATTCGCATCAAGTCGTGCTAGGGCCCAGTTCAGGGGTTGTTTCTGGCTCCATGGTGTGTCCATGTGTCTATAACCTGCTCTGCGTCTGAGAACACGTCCGGTACCATTCCCAGAATAACCTGAGGACCTGGGAATCAGAAATTCCAAAATGCTGGAGTGCTACTGCCGCTGCGACTACCGAGTGCAGATGTGGGCTTGGCTGCATCAGTCGGGGCTCTTCACTGCGACGGCAGGCCCTCCCATTGGTGTCTTTGATCTCTCGTAACCTCCAAGAACCAGTTGAACTTGAAGAGCCCTCCATTCCAAGCCTCATGTGCACGAGAAGTGCAGTGAACCCGAAGCCACGCATCTTCCGTGGCCTTGAGGTTGGGACGTCTGGTGCAGCTCGGATCCAATAATTCAAGTCTTTTGGCTCTCTACCGTTAGCGTTTTTACATCATCGAAAGGTGCTCTTGGAGGAGAACTGCGGCCAGATGTAGCAGCCCACAAATCTAGGATGCAGCAGCCAACGGGTCCAAAGAGGCGTGGTCCTTGCAGGCTTGCCTGCGCCGGACACGCGCCGGAACTTTACTAAGCGAGCTAGACGAAACCTGAAAGGTGTAGTTCGTGCAGAGCCAACCGGAAGAGTTGAGACAGTGGTCAGGAAAGACTGGGCCAAGAGATTTGACATCGTGAGCAGCACAGATGGTTGCCTGAACAGCTACGCGCAGCTCGGTCTTAACCATGTTGGGCTGCGAAAGCACAGCTCCGCATCTTCTATGTAGTGAGTGCATCCGATGCTGCTGAGATGGAGATTCTTGCTTGCGGGCGTTTGCAGCCCACACTCCCACCTGTACCACCCGGAGCTTGGAACTGGTCAGGTACATGCTCATGGTGTTGTACTACTTGCAGCTTCTTGGCCATGACTTGGGCCTTGGGCAAGCAAAGCCATGCACTTCAGGAGTTCTCATGTTACATCCGGGGTCGTCGTGGATGCGTAGATGTACACCGTAGCATGGATTTCAGTCTCTGCGTTCATCGCACCAGCTTCTCTTTCAGTCTTTGCGGTCAAAGGCTGGTTGTTTTCGCGGAAACCGACGACACACGTCCTTGCCGATGTTTGGGGCTGTTTCATCTTGTAACCTTGGGCTGCCTTAGGCTAGTTGAGTTCATTTGTTGCTCCTTGGATGTGATTGGATTGTGGCTGCCGCTGCAGGACCAGAGAACTGTCCTCAATATAGGCATAACTTCCGAAAGTGTCGCCATGTGCGAAAAGCCCCAGTGCCGTATGTGCTTGAGCCGCGCCTGGGGCAAGGTCTCTACAACCAGAGGTAATCCCGAACCTTCAGCAGATGCAGCGTTCTCAGAGCACGGCTGTGTGAGCCGGTTCAGCAAAGGGAGCAGGCTAGCATCAAGCGTTGCTTCCTCGAGAATCGTTGGGTGTCGGGCCGGGCAAGTCACCTCGAGAGAGCTCGATGTGCTCAGTGATCTAACTTACTTCCTGCTAAGGGCGAGTGGAGAAGGCCCCTGCCAGATCCAGGGTCGCGTGTCCGGGCTGCACATTGATCATTGACCCATCATAAGGATCCTACTATTTAGGGTGCTATGTTGGGATCCCCCGTTTTTGGAAACTCCCATATTATTTCGGCCTGAAGCAAGGTAGGCAGACTGCCAGTTTCGAGGGAGACGGTCCTCGGACTGGAGGGATAAGGATGGACCATTCTTTGCGGCAACCCTGCGAAATCACCGAGGATGGTTGGTGCGAGACAAAGTTTTTCGAGCAGGCCACTAGATTGTACACGTCCGTTCGCAAAATGGCTAGTATTATTGCGCTGCTGATTCTTGCTGAACTGAATCGTCTTCCGCGAGATTCTAAACTTGCCTGGAGTCTCGCCTCGGCGACCATGGGTTTGCCCATCCGTGAGACTCCATTCAACCTGATGCGGTGCAATGTTGCAAGATGTTGCATGCCAAATGGCCTGGAGTTTGAGCTATCCCTGCATATCCTTATGCAGTAGTTCGCATCCGTGCGAACCTACAAGAGCGTGTGTAAATTCACAGGGCCACGGCGACCTTCTTCAATTCTTCGCTTTGCCGCTTCACTTTCGCTGCTCTGCCTGTTCCCTAACTCCATTGCTGGTGTTTCCACGAGTCTCGGTCCTTTTGGCTTGCTTGTGGCCTCGCTTCCCTGATTTTCCTCGTTGTTCACAATTAGTTACTTTAGGTGCGGAGGCAGACTCCAAAACGTTCAAGCCGCACAGACAGGGTAAACTGGAGGCATGGGTTGATTGCGCAGGTCGACGATCTCCCGCGATCGGAGAACAAGAGCAGCTCCTGGGACGGCAGCAAACAAGCACTGCAGCAGTTTGCGAGGCTTGAGGTTACATGGAGAGCTGGGGGAGGCTGCGGGGAAAGTGCGTCGACGAATCAAAAGGCATCTCGCATATCAACTCGTGATCCTTTGCGGACGCTCTCTCCTGTGCTGGCCTCCGAGTTGTTCGGTCGTGTCGAATGTTTTGACGTTCCGTTTCGGGCCGTGCCTGACTCCGAGCATGGGGTTGAGATTGAGATGAACAGATGAACCGAGATGAACCGAGCATCTTGGAGAAGAGCTTTCATCGTCTCGCTGGCGTGCTAAGGCGTCGCTGACCTGCTCTACGGCTTCTTTCGATTCTACAGCTGCTGGGATGCATATTCGGGCCCCACCTGTACTACCCACCTCTACTAATCTCTCGTGCATGTCTTGATGTCCGCTGCAGTCTCAGGGACCGCTTGAAGCGAGCAAACGAGCGCCTTTGACGTAGGATGCGGAAACGCTGTTCCTAAGTTGGCGCATGCACGTTGGAGCCTCCAGCCAAGGTGAGGAGTTTGACTGGTCGCAGAATGCTGTGTGCATACGTGAGTCGGCTGCACGATCATGGGACTGACATGCAGTGGCCAAGCACGTCATCAAATGCTTCATGTTGTGATCCCTTGGCTCTGATATGAGGCGAAGGGAGACCTGGTGCGGTCGTCGACAAGTTCGGCTTAAGCACCAAGACGTACTACGAGCAGTGGTTCCCCGGACACAGCAAGACTAATTTTGAGCGTCCGGCGTTCCGGTGCATGTTTTTGGGCCAAAGGATGCAGTGCCGCTGTTCTTGGCAGGGGATTGCGGTGTCGTGCTAGTGCAACGACAAGTAGACGAGATGTTGAAATTCCATGCTAATCTCACAGCCGTGCAGGTACATAGAAGACCCTTTTGACCTGCAGCACAACCTGGGTGGGAAATGCAGCCAGCAAGGCAGGCGTCCTGCAAAACTTGGGAGATAGGAAGCTGCGGAAATGGCATCGGTTCTGCATCACTAAGCGGTGTATGCGGTGTTTCGCTCCCAACCTTCGGCCACACTGAAAAGCCCGCTTGAAGTGCTTGGCAGGCAAAGACTACATCATCCGCCAGCCCCAAGCTGAGCAAGCATGTTTCTTATGCAGGGATTTTGGTTTTCCAGTGGGTCGGGCTTTGCCGGACTTCAACACAAAAATCACAAGGCACAAGGCTAGCGGCTGGGTTTCTTATTGTCCGCACGACTACAAACGGAAGCAGCACGAACTGGCTTCACTGCATTGTTTGATAACGCTTATGCGGAATCCCAGAGTGCGTCTCAAGCAGTGGCCCACCTGGATGAGACTCTTTCCTACCCGTCCTATCCTTTGTTCAGACACTCAAACTAGAGCAACGTGATCGAAGGATGCAATGCGCCAAAGACGAGCTGTCGAAGGCGATGCCAGATTTGGCCAAGGCGCAGACGAAGCTCATGGATTGAATGAGAGTTTCCTTTGACAAGCTGTTGTTCCTAGCATGTCGTGTATGCTTGCTTCCAGGCTCTGTAGATAGCTTGCAGGTCTGTGGTCCGCCGCCGGAGCGGAACAGCTTCTTCCTGAGGCCGGATGAGCTCCGGCAGCGCATTGGTATGTGTGGTGGAGGTTTGACAAACAAATCCTGCCTAAGAGCTCATCTTGTGGGACACCAACGACACCCGGCTCCTTCTGATAGTTTGGGTTTGTCTTGGCACATACTTGGGCTAGTAGCGCGTTAGGTGTGGTGCCAACCTGTCGGAATTGGGGTACTTAACAGTGCCTCATGCTCGAGCTGACGTTGTTTGCAACTTGTGTAAGACTGACCCTCGCCAGGTGTCGATGTGACAAAGACATGACTCCAGAGGCAGATCGGTGCCCAAACTAAGACGATCGGGGAGTTTCTCAGATGTGACGGTTTGAAAAGCAAGAAGGCGATCCCTTTCACGTGTTTTGCGGTTTCCTCCGCGACGTCGCGTCGCGGACCAGGAGCTCCTCGACGCATTTCGGGACCTGGACTTGGTGAGGTCGCAGCGGGGGAGCTATCGAGTAGCGAGGGAGCTTTTTGTCTCAGGTGTCCTACTCTTCCGTCTGCCTTGTGATCGTGGGATCTCTGTCTGTACATTCTACATGCAGCAGTCTAAAGTAGTGGAGACAACGGGCTCTTACAGATCCCCACAGAGGATTTCGTGCTGCGTTCAGAAGCCAAATATAGGACGATTAAGCCGCGCCACTCGCAACTTCGCTTTGCAATCCGGCCTAGCACAGGGTGTGCATGTGTTACGATCCAGTAGTCCTCAGTAATTAGACGGGATGGCCTGAGGGTGATCCTCCTGCATATGTTGAACTTACATCAACCTTCCTTCTTAGCACTGAAGACCTCAACTAGGCAGGGAGCACCCGTACCCAGCTGCGAGGCTGCACTTCCCCACAGGAGGCCATGCTCGGCAGGCCGCAACATCGCTCAATCGCACTCGTCTGGGGAACCATACTTCCGAAACCGGAGCTCTCTTTCAGGAAGGGGTCGTGGATGGTCGTGTTGTGATGCACGGGCTGACAGTAGAACTCGAAACCAATGCAAGACCAGGGCATGGCTTCTGCGTGCAGGGCATGGAGCCACATTCACGTGATTTTGCCAGAAGCTACATGCTTCGCCTCAGCAATCTGCAAGTTGCTAATAGTTCCATGGAGGGTTCATCGTGCAAGGAATACATGCCACAAAGAAGTGCCAATCAGCAACAGTACTGAGCCGTCCATGCTTATCCGCCAGCGCAAACCCCGACAAGCCAAGCACAAGCTACCAGCCAGAGCTTTTACATGCTTTTACCATGGTCTTATAGAACGAGATGGTAACCGCCGACCGCCAACGCCGCGAGCGGCCTTTGACGGGCGCGGTGGCCTTTGCTTGTTTCCTTGGAGAGCAACAGCTTTCGGACTTGGGCAAGTTGTGGACTTTTGCAGCTGCGCAATTGGAGACTTGTGCTGCGCAACATGCTCATCACTGGAGTCCAGCCAGGGCGTGAGAGTGTTCCATTCAAAGGCTGACGCAGTGTAGTACCAAGGCTTAGCAGAGCATAGGTTCAGGGGAGTCGAAGCCAACTTGTGCGGCCGGACTTCAAGAAGGTTTTTTAATGGTCATCCTGTTTTCGCACGCCGTCAGCTTTTCAGGCTCGACGAACACTGCCTGACACGCCTTAGGCGTGTCTAGGCTTCGAAGGACCCACAGCTTTGATTGCCAACCCCAGCACGCAATTTTCTACATCCTCCTTACTCCATTTGGGCTTCATTCAGTGAGGACAGGATGCGTAGCGGCATACGGCGCCTAGTTTCCGGGCCCGTCATGGCTCAGCATGATGCTTTATTTGGATGAAGTCTAAGTGTACCAGGCTTGGGGGATTGACAAGTGCCCGATCGTAGCATCTTGCCTTCTGGTTGTAAGCCTGCGGTGGCACGCGCGGCCTCATGGCCTCTCCGGGGCTGATGCTGGGTGAGGTGCCGCCTGGTAGTGCAGCTGGCATAGAATCGGGCAGTCTAAAGCCCTGGAGAGGAAGAAATAACCCTCCAGTCCTTTGCAGGCTTGTGGCAACCTCATGTAATCTGGTTTGTAAGAGGCGCCGGCGATACGGATAGCGGCTGGTCGTCGTAGCTCGGAAGGGCTGAGCCCGCTGTGCATCTGCTCTCCAGCCGAACACACATTGGCACCACCTAGCAGCAGAGCTAGCAGCTAGCATCTGCCGTCTCTTGGAGCGCCGTCATAGGCATGACTAACTGTGGTCGAAGGCGCAGCCTTCAGTCCCTGTAACCATGCAATGTGCCAGGGCCCACGGCATCGGTCCTCGAGTGACCTCGCGACAAGCATGGAGAAAGCGGCCTTGCGGCATGTTGGCAACTCGAGACGTGGGCAGACCACCAGATTCCTTGCGGTGACCCTACATGCAATGTCGCAGAAAACAGACCCAGAAACCACGAGCTCCAACAACTGAGTTGCCTCAGGAGCCGCCATATCTCCAGAAGTCCAAGGAAGCCAACCCCGGCCCCTCGGTTGACAGAAGGGGTCGCGGGTCTGCATTGCAGTATGCGTCCTCCACCCCATACTTGGCTTCGAGCTAAACACTAAACCCACCACCCTATTGCTGCTTCCCCCACCTCAAACTCGAATTTCTGAGAAACGAGTTCATGAGTCTGTTCCTGCGCTTGTCCACTCGACTTTCCTGCAAAGACACATGCTGAAAGCCAATATCATACGAAAGCAACAGCATCATGGAAGCTCATTGGCCACAGCATAACATATTGTAGTGCGGTTGGGGTTGTATATGATTTTCGGACAATCCGAAAGTATGCCGTTGAGCACACTCAAAAGAGCATGTGCCTTTGCATCCACAAGTATTTTATATGTATATACAGTTATATGAATATGTATATATACATATGTACATATGTGTGTGTGTGTGCAGCAACAACAACAAAAGTTAAAGGCCAGGAAGTACTCCCAGCTCGAAATCTCTGTTCCCCAACAGGAGGTACCTAAGCTGAAGGAAATGTAAGGATTGCAGTCACAGATCGGGCAACTGTACCAAGAGACCTCGTTTGTCGAGTCCGAGTTGCGAGAGCGTAAATGGGAGTTTCCCAAAATGGGGGACCCTAAGGTAGTACCCTAAAGCCATTTTGGCTCAAGCCATTTTGGCTCAAGCCATTTTGGCTCAAGGCCGTGTCCTTGAGAGACGGGTAGAGGCCAGCTTTCCAGGCTAGCAAAACGGTCCCCCCGTGAACTTCGGGGTCGCCTCCTTTCCCCCCCCTAAAGGTCTTTTGTGTCGTCTTGAGTCATGTCGGGAGCGTTTGCAGCCCTGAATGAGGGCTTAGTGGATCCAGGGACCAGTGCTCTAGGGGGGGGTGGGCTGCCGGAAGGCTCGGCTCGTGACATGATTCTGGATGCCTCCTTGGAAGGGCCTACGCAACCTGCCTCCCCCGCTATGCTTGAAGCTAGTAGAGCGGCCTTGGCGGCTGCTTTGGGAGGTCCTCTCACTGTACAGCATCAAGACGGGGTGCGTGTCCTTGTCTTTGATGGCGCAGATGGTACTGCGGATGCAGGAGCGGTTAAGCCCGAAGTTGGTAAGGCCCGAACAGCTCAGGAAGCTTCTCTAGGGGAAGTTAGGGACTCCCCCACGAAAAGGCGCTCGGGCTCTGATGTCGTCACTCAGTATGATCTGACGGCTGATGATGGTGACGATGCTAGATTGGTGCCTGGGGAAGATGAAGATGACGATGATGACGAACTCTCCAACGCACATGAGTGCCCTCCCCCTCCAACTGGGTCTGCTCCAGGTACGCCGGTACATGTTCGCAATACCAATTCGCCGGAATTTGGTAAGTATCCAGATGGAAGTCCTTTCGGCCCTGGGGATGTAGGAGGGCTCTTGGCTCCGCCACACTTTGCAGGGACGCTTTCGGCAGGACATATCACGAATGCAGGATCTCCGGTAACTAGCAAGACGGCTAGCGTGAGTAACAAGTTGTTTGCTGGGGCACCTTGCTTGTCTGCTGCTCCAGCCATCCTCGAGGGCCATGTGAAGCAAGATGCAAAACAACCCTGTAACAAAGCTGTTGGGCCCCCGCTTCCACCCCCCGCACAAGCCCCGTCCAACAAACCTGCTACTGGCAGCTCAGGCACGGAGGACCCTCCATGGCTTAGGGGGCTTCAGAACGATTTACAGCGACTTGTGCTTCAGCAGGATAATTTGTTACATGAATTCTCTGCATGCGCTACGGCTACAAAAAAGAATTCGGATTGCATAAGCACACTGCAGACGCGTTCGGAAGCACACGAGAGACTTCACACTGAACATGAAGGCCGTATCACGAAACTGGAACGGGAGATTGCTGATCTTAGGTCCAGACCCCCGTCGCCATACACCCCCCGCGGTCCCTCAACACCGAGGGGAGGGGGGCTTGGTTCCACTACTGCTTCGAGTACCGGGGGTAGGACAATAGATGACCTGCAAATTGTCATAGGTGGGTTTGTGAATGCCAAGAAAACCGAGCTTCAAGCCGAAATTAGGGAATTCTTTGCAAGGCATGGCGGTCCTCAAGTACTCAAAGAAGTGTATGTGCCGTATCTGCGCTCTAATATTGCAAGAATTGAATTGAATTTCCCTTTGCATGCTGATCTTGCACAGCGCCGGCGCATTCAAACACAAGTCTTGCAAGTACTTAAAGAGAGTTTCACCACTAGCATTGCCGGTCAACAAGCCAATAAGCTGTGGTTCCAAAGGAACCGATCGCCGGAGGATCGACAAATGATCCGCAGTATCCTAAGAACAAAGGATATATTGCAGACGTTGGCTCAGCCGGATTCTAGGACTGAATTCGAATGGAAGGGCCGCGTTTACCTTGACGGAGAGAATGTGTTGCACCATGTCTCGCAGAAGCCACCTCAGGGTGAGCACTATTTGCACACCGATGTCAAAGGCTCACACAACGGTTGGTATATTGATGCAGAACATGTAGCGCGACTTCTGGGGCGGAGTGCCCATGACGTCCTTCAACTGTGTGATGCGTAGGGGTGTGGCAGAGACGACACGATATCTGGGCCGAATAGGGGTAAGTCTAGCGAGTCTGCAGAGTCAAGGTTTATGGACTTTCGAGCCATTCATTGGAATGTCAGAGGCAAACAGGTTCAGGCTGAACGGTTCAGGATGTTTTGGATACACTTGCTGGAGTGCTACATCCCCCGGATGTCCTTCTATTACAGGAGGTGGGAGGTCTGGGTAAAACGGAAGGTAGCTCGGCTCAGTCCTTTGAGTTGTGGAGTGGCGCGGAGAGGTACTCTTGTTTCCATGTGGACGCCACTGCCGGTTTTCGGCACGTATGCATTGTAATTCGACATCCTTTCGCGAATTATGTAATGGACTCTGTGGTTCTTTCGGTCGGCCTGGGGGTTACCCTCAAGCCTAAAGGCGGGCAGCCCATTCACCTCCTGACATGTCATTTGCCCCATGGCAAACGACCTGATGCTAAGATAGTCTGGGAAAATGGAATTAGGGAAATTGCGACCTTCCTCCAGAGACCCCAAGCTGGGGATGTTGTCCTTTTCACTGTGGACCTTAACCAGGATTATACAATGCATTATGATACGTTCTCGGAAATGCCACATTTCCGCACTGTTATGGCACAAAACGATCTTCGCATGCAGGCATACGAAGGCGACAGCTGGTTTGCAAGGGGGTGCTCTTCCAAAATTGATTTCTCCTTCTTCAGAGGCATGGGGGTTGATGGCGAAATTCAAAACCGTGAAGATCTTCGTCTAGGGTTGCCTTCTGATCACAATGCACTCCTTATTACACTACGCGCCAAGACTCCCTTCCTCAGGCCTGTCTATAGGCGCACCCTTTGCGGTAGATGGGATGTTGATGTGTGCAGGGCTGAGGAGGCTCTAGCTAATCATACGGGGCAGG